TCCTGGGATGACGGGAGACATGGTGCATCTGTCCTAAGAGATAACAAACCCCTGCACCCAGGGGAAGGGTGTAGTCAGAAGAACCCCATCACAGTCCAAATCCAGCCCGTGGGAAAGGAGAGTTTTGCCAAGACGAGATCCAAAGCAAGAGCATGTGAGACGGAAATAGCACGTCTGGGAAAAGAGGAACCTGAATGGAACAGGGCTTTGGCACCCCTCGGGCAACACATAAAGGAAAACCGACCGAAATGTGGCTGATCCTGAGACTTAATGACCTGGATGACAAATGGAGCCAGGCCAGGCATGCTGCTGGCCTCGCCCAGGCGTTTGCTGGGAGGAGGACATGCCAGTAGCAGAGCTAACCCCCACAAGAAGGCATTCCACACGCGAGCTGCATCCTTCGGGCGCTCCTCACCGCAGCTCGGCCATGAAGCAGAGCAGGGGCTGGCTCCCAACCACAGGCGCTGTGCAGGCTGCTGGGAACCGCACCACCTCCGAGCACAGCTGACCTGCAACCGGAGGAAACCCAGAGGAGCTGAGGGTATCTGTGCAAGGAGGACGACCTTCCGCTCTTGAGTCAGCTCCCACCTGCCTGCACCCCGCTCTTGCCCAGCTACCGGAGAGGACACTGCAGGAGTCGTTGTGCAACTGCCTGTTTGAAATGGGCAGAGGGGACAGAGCAACGTGCCACGGCCGGTGCAAAAGGCCAGGGCTGCACCTCTTGGCCTCTGCTGACGTTGCAGCAATCCCCCCCCAGGCAAATGGATCCTCGCATGCTGTGCGGAGGTGGCATCCCCCTGCTTACGGGGGGTCACAGCCACAGCCTGCGTGCCCCAGAGCTCGGAAATAAAGGGAGTAACCTTGAGACTCTGCTAATACCAGGAGCCAGCGTTAGTCTGAGCTTCCCTCCACCTTCCAGTCTGATGGTTAAAGAAATTAGGTTGTTCCTATGGCAACTGGCACATCAAACGGGGCTCTGCAGCTTTGACTCAGCTCCCTGGCAGGGAGGCAGAGGCCAGGAAGCAGCTCTGCAGACTAACGCTGCATCGGGGAACGCAGGGGGCTGGCGCATCCTTCCCCCACAGCCCCACCAGCTGCCCCACGCCGCCGGGCAGGACAGCACGTGCATGGAAGGAAACACTGCAGCAGAGGAATTTGGGATTGCTCTGTTACAGCACCTGTCTGGAGTGCCCAGACCCTCCGCTCCTGTCCGCAGAGAGCATCCCCAGGAGAGCCGGCTGGGGACACAGCCAGCCAGACTTTCACGTAGAAAGGAAACGCTCCGGGGACTTGCTGCCAGACACGTCTCTCTGGTGCTTCCAGAGTGAGAAGCTGAGACAAGCAAAGTGGAGGTTGAACAGAGAACATACCTTGCTTTCCAAAAAGCACCACAAACCTGACAGGGTTTCCCAACAAATCCCGAACTCAGCACAGGCCCTTGGCAGCCGGCGGGGCTGTCTGACACCTACACATTCTGCTCCGGCGCTGGCACCGACAGACAACAGCAGCAACAGGAGCTGCCTGGGAGACAACGCTCTCACCTCTCAGGCTCACTGCCTGACGTTTGCAAACAACCTCCCACGTAGCTTTGGTTGTGGTGACGAACCCTAAGCCAAACGGCTTTGCCTCGCACAACACGGAGCAGGTGAGGAAAGAGACGGGAAGAGCGACCCAGCGCTCACCCTTCGCTTGTAACCCCTGTCCCCACACCGAGTGTTTCTGCTTTCCCACTTACCACATCCTGAACAGAGCCCTGGTCCTCTCGCAGATGATCTTCAGCCAAGAGGCAGAGCACAAGCCCCTTGAGGCAGTGAACATACAAGCTCATCTTCACTGGTGTGCAGGGTTTGCCTGACTCCACGCCAGCCTGGGCTCCCACACCATCCACCCGAGGTGGCCGGCCGCTCTCCCCGCTCCGGGGACAGTGCGTGTCCTCTGCTGTGTCACTGGGCAGACCCTCCTGAACCTCTACAGCTGGCCGCTGACTCCTGCTTTGGAGCTCTGGTTGTGCAGCAGTGGCTGGACCATCCAGACCCCGCACATTGTCACCAGCTGCACCCTTGCTTTCTCCAGAGACATTATTTTGGCTCACAGTCCCTTGCTCGTCTTGTTCACTTGATTTCCTTCTGTCCAGCTCTGCAGGAGAGCAAATAGCTGGACTGCCACTGGCTGCATGAGAACTTTGAAAATGGTGTTGCTCAACATCAGAGTCCACAAGGGATTTCCCCACGTTCTCACTCTCCTGCTCCTGGGCGTAAGGGTTTGGAAAGGAAAAGCCTTCCAGATATGGACCTGCAGTTTGAGAACGTTCAGCAGTATGGAGTGTGGAAGGGCTTGGCAGCTGCTTCGCGTCTCTTTCTGATGGGAAGGATGCTCTTCCAGTAAGCTGTGAGCTTTTGCTGTCTGGTCTGCTCAGTTTTGCAGTTGGAGAATTCTTTGTACTGGCTTCCATTTCGGGGAAGCCCTTCAAAGGATCACTGTTTGCAAGGCTGCCTGATTGCACAGCGCCTTCTGGTGCAGCTGCGCTTGAAGCTTGCTCAGGGGACTCCTGCACAGAGATATTATTCAGGTCTTGTTTTTCATTAACTCCTGTTGGTTCTGAAGCCCCCTGGGAGCAGAGAGCATTCTTGCCTCCTCTAGTGCTTGCTGGGGACATGGATGACCTAGTAGGAGATGACAAGTTGATTAAACCACCAAGTGGGGTCTGTTTGGAGTTATTACACAGCTGATAATCCTGTCAGCTCCTGGCAGTGTTCAATAGCCGATCTGTTCTCTGCTACAAAGAGCATCTATCTCGGAAAATCATAGGCCAAGGTCTAACAGGTGAAAAGCAGGGGCCTCTGACACGGCAGACTCCCGGGAACATCACTCCCTTATTCACAAAGCACAGAGGCTTTAGGCAGCACTGCGAGATGAGAAACAGCAGAAGATCGCAGCTGGTCTGGGGAAACAGTTCTGCCTCAGGCTGCTTCAGAACAGAGATACGGACCCACAAACCCTGCCCAGCCCGAAAGACCTCAGGCAGCTTTAACAGCCAGATGACAGAGTTGGGGTAAGTACCAGAGAAAGCAGCGACAATGGCTGGGGAGGACGCTGTGCTGCATGTGAGCTCCCTTGCCGCAAAAGCCTCTCCACACACCAGACTGACTTCCTACCTAGTCATCCACTCCACTGGAAACTCTCGGAGCACTGAGACTTCGTCTTCTGTTAGGAATACCGGGATGATATGGACACCCTGTGGTAAGGGAGAATCTGCAAGAGCAATGGAGGTTTGAGGGTTAAATTAACACCCCCCAGAATAAGGAACAGAAGCCAGACTCCAACAGCCCAAAGGCTGCTGCAGGAAGAGAAGGCATGCTGTATCCTGGGGCACCACAAACTGACCGCATCTGACTAGGCAGCGTTTTCCCATCCTCCTCATGCACTTAATGCCTGACAATCGTGTTTTTTTCTAACCATCCTGGCAGAGTATCTATAAACTGATGCTCAAGAATGAGGACTGAAGGTTTGGACTGAAAGCATCAGCCATCTGTTTTCAGGGCTCTGTCAGCAGCCAAGTAGGCACATGGATAACTGGAATTAAAGCAGGCATGTTGGGAATCTGCACAACTGACAATTAAACCCAAAAGAGCAAACTCCTTTGCTTAGCCAAAGGAAGGAACTAGTTCTGATTACACAACACCCACGGGCACACGCTGACTAGTGGCAGCAACACCCTCAGGGATATGCTCCTGCATCCAGCAAGAGCTTTGCCGTGACTCCCAGGAACCAGCTCACGCTCTGGCTGCAGAGAACACAGCCCCAGCGCGCTGCCCACATGCTGCTGCTGCTGTGCACTTGGCAACCAGTGCTCTGCAGCTGGATGCTCACCAGGCTCTCGCTGCTTCTCGCCTCCAGGCTCCCTCTGAAAGAAAAGCCAAGAATCAGCTCTGTGCCATGACTCAACACCCGCCACCAGTGCCACCAGGACATCTCCTCCAGCCTCCTTGTGCCTACAGCAGACCCCAGACTGTCCCCTCCAGCATGTGCTGTGACTGGTTTTACCATGCTGGGCAACGATTTGTCCCTTAGGTCACCCTCAAAGTCAAGGAGGCTTCCCAAGAACTAAAATACACCTGAAAGCAAGGACAAACAACACAATTGGCCATTGCTGCCTGCTCAGGACACAGAAACTTGGTTCACTCAACCAGAGCAAGAACAGAGGCCTTCTTCCTATCCAGCTCTTCATGGCTTTTTTGTAGAAGATCTTAAACCAGGTACATAATTACTTTTGACAAGTTTTAATGGCAACAGAAATTGATCTATTTGTCACTTTCAGATATTTATTTTGTATATTTGACACTAAACACCTAAACTGGGGTAAAAAGCTAATCAAAACATCACATAGATGAGAACTCTTGAATTCACTATCGTAAAGACAGAAGAAAAAGCAAATTCCTAGTGCAGAAGTCTTGAAACCTTACTCAATCATAACTAATAAACACTTCTAGCATCAGCATCAATGTTTGTCCTTCCCAGTAAGGGCACAGGTGAGATCTCTGTGACAAGAGCTCCCAGACTGCATCCTCACAGGTGGGTGTCTGCATGCAGGGAATGTGTTCAACAACAGACCTGGCCCGGAGACTCATCGCCTTGGAGGAGAACTTTGGCAGTGAGAGGAGGTGGCAGCTGGGTGCTCACAATCCTGAAAGGACAAAACAAAGTCACTCATGAGCTGAGCGCCGTTTCCTGCAGCTCTGCCGCAAAGTCCCACTCCTGGTGCACCAGGAGCAGAGCCAGCAGCAGTGCCCACACGGGCTGCTCCTCGTCCTCTGAGCAACACGGACGGTGCTGCAGGTATTCTCAGTCCTCCCGTTTACGTCTTGTTGATATCCACGTTCTGGAGATTCTCCAGAAGACTCTAAAAAAGAAGCTCAACTCAAGTACAAAGCCCTCTGTATTGTAAGATTCAGAGTTCAGAGAACCCTGACGATATTTGGCGAAAAAAAGCCTCAACCAGACAGCCCAGTGATACGAAACCCACACACAGGTGACGGCAGACACAGGGCATGACTCCACTCTGAAGTCAGACATCCCCTTCCCCTGCAACATGCTGCCAGCTTTAAGGTGCTGCAGTGACTCGCGCTCTGTCTCGGTTGCAAGTATGAGAGCATTCCCTTAAAATTGCCCAGCCTACCTGCCAGACCTGGAAAGATGTGTCATGCTTACAGTGCTCGTAAAAGGTGCTACAGGAACGGTCCACATCAAAGGAAAAAGGTGCTTGAATGTTATTGCCAAGAAATTCTCAGAATCCCCCACCTCCTGTCTTTCAAGGCCACCTTTGAGGCTTTCCTTGATGTCATTCAGTGCCACATCTGCAGCATCCTCAGCTCTGATTGGCTGAAAGAAGCCAGCACATCTCGTGGGAAATTCTGGCTCATTCTTCTGCACACTTTCTACCAGTACAGACACTGGTCCTGGCCAACGAGGCAGCCAAAAAGACATACAGACAGATGCACACGTGCACTCTATTTGCAACACTGCAAAAACACCACCAAGGGGAGAGAATAATATTCACACATCTTTCTTTTTCTTGGCAACTTCCACCTAAAAATTCTTTCAGTCTTCATGTCCTGCTG